CAGATTTCCCTGCAATTATCCCAGCAGTGGCCGACAAAGGGTGAGCGAAATAATCCCCGAATATACATACATATGTACCCATAAAGAGATGGTTATCATACGCAACCTACCGCCATTGTATATATTGAATTAATTTCCAGTCGTGATTAGGCCGAATTCGTTTCAATGAGCGAAGAACCATTGTTACTGTCGACGGGCTGCATTCGCGATGTGAACGGGGGCTGTTTTCACCCCATCAAAAAAAATCAAGTTATAAATGGGCTGTTTTGTTACAAATAGTGCGACATTTTTCATTATCGTGTGCCCATAGGGGAAAAACGAGTGCAATATGATGAATATGAGAAAATGCCTATCCAGGCTATGCGACCGCGTTATTGCATGGATCTGGATAAGTAATGAAGCTATTACTTACAGATGTATTGGAGAATTGGTGATTGATTGCCATGTTTAGTGGGGTTGTTAAAAATCCCAATGCGGCTCTTCAGTTTTGCGAACAAAAATGTGTTGAATGCAACATAATTATGGAGCTTTGCTGAAAAAGCTCCAACCTACAATTTTGACAATTTTTCACATGTGACATTTAGGAATGTTTTTCGGGCTTTGAAGCCGTGGTCTATCGGAATTTCTTCCTGACGTTTCGTCCACAACTGCGGTGGACATTTTCAAAGGCGATGAGGCAGTGGGCGAAGTGATCTCCCGTGCTTTCCGACTTTTCACATGTGGTTTAGAAGAGCAAATAATAACATCAAGCAGTGCGTTACCTCTTTAACAATATTGAAATAGGAACTCCGTCTGTCTCTAGAGCAATTTCCTTACTTTGTATGCTCGTGCGGTTTCTTGTCGGGAAAATTACGCGGCTTTCTCTAATGGAAATATTCAGTTTTGCTGCATCTATAAACTGGGTGCAACGTTGCGTGATTCAGCAGCAAGAGCATTTCAGTGGAAGCTCAAATATATGTACATTGTTGCTTGATCAAGGCGCAAAACAATACTTTAACGGGAATATTTACATGGGATTATCAGTTTTTGGATGCGCACTACATCGCGTTATCCAACAACCAAACTCGTTTTTCGAATGTAAAGAAAATTTCACTTAAGTTTGGAACCAGTCCATGTTCGGCTGGCTTTTACATATAATCTCGTTACCGTAAAAACGAAAACAAGGAAATACGGGAAAGCCGGATAAAGGAAAATGTATACTGAACAGACGCGCCTGAGAATTTGCCTTGGCTCGGTAATGCACGTATGAATTATTTTCTCGGGTAAATTCAATGTAAATATCGCGCGGAATAATAGAGGAGGGTGCTGAGGAAAACTGAAAGGAAACGACCTAGTTTTCACCACTTTTTCATGAATTATGCGTCGCCCGTAATTACGCCATAATTGCTCAAGAAGAGGCCAATTTGATTACAGCCGCTTTTATTTTAATGTAGATTATTACCTGAGCGCAGCAAATGTTTCCAAATTAACAACGAATAAGTCCTCCCACAAGAACCATGCCTGCTTACGCAGCAAATTCGCGTTTTATAAACTCTGTTTACAAAGTAAACTTCCAGTTTTGATAATGTTGTTGTAAAACTGTCTTACCAAACACAAACAAACACGCTCCCCAATCTTAATTTGTGTAAGTTGCGACTCCCCAAAACCCATGATGGAGAAGTAACGGCTGACTAAACTTCAATTTTAAATTGGCCCGGTGCAAGGTACAGTTGAGGGGGTTGAAAGTGCCACAACTGCCATAACAAGGGGGTGGAACAATTGTTTTTTCTTTCTTCCTAGTGTTTCTGGGGACGCACACGAAAAGTTGGATCAATATAAAAAGAGCAAAAGGTAATGTCCTGATAAAAGGCCAGGGGGAAGTGAGCAATTTGCATGGAAATTTTCTTTTGTCGAGTATTATTATTTTTCCTGCTACAATAAAACATGATAAGGTGAGGGCCTATTTAGTTGTCGCACTGTTTCACACCCTCCTGAGTACCAGACGATAAACGAGAAGCGAGCAAAATGTCATATTAGGCAATAACTACGCATTAAGAATGATGGCTTAATGTGATTGACGAAGGATCTACAAATGGTGCAAAGTGACTTCAGTTGAAATATCTCAAAAGCTAATTTCAATTAATGCTAGCTTTAAATCGCTGATATTTTCGCTAAAATTCAATTTTGTAGGCGACCAAATTGTCCGCAATGATGAACGGAAAACTCATAGAGCGATTGCAACTTTTAGTTCGGCCCTAATTGACGTATAGCAGAGAATGGAAATTGAGTTCGGTTATCGAATTTTCTCGACATGCATGTGAGATTCTTCGATTCTTCCGGCACACAATTTAGGTCGACGGTATTGTAAAAATGCATTGAGAAACAAAGATATTTGTTCCGCATAAAGTTTACTTATGTATATGGCTTTTTGCTTATGTGTGGAAGTCAGTATATGTATGTGGAGATCGTTCACTTATTTTTCTTTATAGGTTCGAAGTAGTTTAGAACGGGAGCGATTTGTTTTCAATTTTTGAACAATGTGCAGATAAATATGGTATTCAGACTACCTACATGGAAGATTGTACAGTTTATTTTTTTTATCACCACAATTTTTAACCAGTTTGACTGGAACACTCACATAGGTTTCAGTTTTGGAAAGTTTGCGTCTGAATAGGTACTTTGGTTGCCGGTCATTGTTAGCTAAAAATAGAGAACTTTTTGTTTTTTGGGTAAGTAACGGGTCGTTTCTGAACGGGAAAGCTTTCAGCAGCTAGTTCTTTTTTATTATACAGGGTGATTCAAAATGGTCATCATTCCTTTTAAGGGGTAAAAGGGGCTCATTTCGAAGGTACGAGAAAAGGATTCAAAAATCGTTTTTCGATAATTTCTAGAAGATATTAACAGTTGAAAATTGCACAACTGACACTTTCCCAGGCACCAAATAAATACCGGCTACGTTCCTACCACGTATGTAAGATACACATTAAACCAATGGTTACTGAACACCGGTATGAATTGAGCAGGAGTTAATTAACCGAATAGGAGAAGATGCTCGAGAAGAGTGCATAATAAGGTGATTACACAGGCACTTGTTTGGAGTTTTGTAATTAATAATTAAAAGTATTTTTATAATTTGTAAACAAATTAATAATTCGAGGTTATGACTTTCGAAATAGGTTCCGTCATTTAACGATTCCTGTTGAATTTATCGTTTATCCTTTTCTACTTATTGTCACTTTCTGTATAATTCCATGGTTACCGGAGTTTTAAATAATTACGAAGCAACAGGTATTTTCGTAATGTTAATTAGGCAGGTTACCTTGAAAAACATTGTTGTCGTTTTTCTAATATAGTTTTTGCAAATTTCTCAGTTTTTAATAACAATTGATTGTTTTACTATTTTTTCTGTACTCCTAAAACACCGCCAGACTACACCCCCAGAGGAATAACGCCAATTTTGAACCACCCTGTATAATAGTAATACAAAGTAGAATGAATAATACGCATGTTCATCTGAAGAGTAATGGAAATTATTAATTTAAAAAGTAGTTATTTGCCATTTTATGATGATTATTTTAAACATAACTCAGACATTAACTATTGGCGTAAGTAAAACTGTCGCATATGCGTTGTAAAGTTTAAAGAAACAAGATCCTTTTGTCGTTCAATTTCTAAAAACGCAGTGGAAACTGAACTGGGTTTGTTCTGTTAATCCCACAAAATAAACCTCAAAACTATCGAAGAAGTGTATTTCAATGAACTAAAATCGGTGAAATAGTTGAAATCTTCTTGGTCTCGTATATCAATAAAACTTGCAAGCTTCCCACTTTAGTGATGTAAAATCTTCTTTTCATAAACTTCCGCAACTCATTCGAGTTAATAACTCAAATGGGAATTGTTGCTGTTTTGCTAATGGTAAAAACCTTTCTAAAATGTGTTCAAGCGGACCGTAAATCTAGATCCATAACAAACCAATTCTAATGTTTATAAAATTCAATTAGGAGCAAGTTAAATTTTTTATGGTCGTCCGGAACGACATGAAACAGCCAGGTTTATCGGCGGCTTTGTACATGCACAGTGTTCTACATTTCGAGCTGAATAATTGAGGAAACCGACTGCGGCCGCTCTACCACGAAAATGAAAAAGTTATTTCCGAAACGAGTTGCTTAAATAATGGGTGGGACATCGTCCTTTTACCAACGCAAGGTCATGATTTTTGTATTGGCTCTTTACATGTTAGAGCCAGCCACGCTCTATCGGCAACGTTTTCCCTTTAAACTTTCAACTTTACGCCACGACTAATGGGGTACGTGTTGACAAGTATGTTGAGTGTAAAATATGAGCTTTTTCTGGAATCCATGAATCAATTATGATTTTCCAGACGTCGCCAACAGATATTTTGTATGCTGTTAGGATTGGGGTGACGTCGAATCTTCCACGTACGTGAATCAACTCAAAAGGTCTCTTGAACCTTGCCTGTACCTGATTCAACGAAGAGTGTGATTTTTAGGCGCCTCAATATATGATCCTTTCGACTTTACATTAAAGACGTTAGACTTTCCCTTCCTTATATGTTTGCAAATCAAAGTGTTCAACTGTGAAGATTCAATTTTGCAAAAATGCGTCCAGAATGGAATAACTGTTTTCATAAAAAACGCATGTGTCTATAACAGACAATTCCCTCAGCTGCCAGCAGCCTTCAGTACACACTCTCCTTTATCCAGTTTTCTCATATATTCCGCTTTTCTTTTCTCTAAGTAGGTTACACGCTGACACATACTGTTTTCAACCAAAGTGATATTTTATTTATGTACGTCCGAGAGATACAAAGTTTTCTTTCTTCGCCTCGTCCATTTGTCAGTGAGTAAGACAACTTGTTTCCCGCAAAACTCATCCAATTGATTAATGCTTAATAGCAGTTAAACGAGTTAGTTAATTGGCAATTTTTTGCTGCACCACAACTCTACACACAGAAAAACCGAACTACAAATACATTTTAAACGGGCGTTGGTTCTTTGCAGGCAGGGGGCGACTCTATCCCGCTTACAGCCTAAGCGGTTCTGAGGGTGAGGAGTCACTAGAGCGACGATACGGAGAACCGCACACCTATCAGCATCCCCTCTATCAGCAGCCGGCCGGCCTGAGCGACACTCCCACCTCAGAAAACGCCTCAGACGCCACTTTAACCGACTCAGAACTGGCGCTTGCTCGAGACTCTACATTACTCGTCCATAACGGTAAGTTTACCAATTGTTGCAGTTGCGTCCCACTCAAAAGTATTTGAATGGGATTTTCGTAATAGAATTAAGTATTTTTAGTACAGAATTTACAGTAAGAAGTTGAATTCGTGCTTTCTGGGGATGAAATAGATGATGCCATAAAACTTTTTACTTTTTATCATACAATCCGGCTACCTTTTTTGGTAAGATTCGATTCTGAGCTCAATGAATAGTTTCTGATTAAAGAAGCCCTTGATTTTTATAGTTAACTAGCTGACCTGGCAAACGTTATATTGCCATATAAATTATTCCTAGGGTTTTTTTTCATGTCGAGTGGGCGGTTTGCCCACTTGAGATTTTTTTAAATTTTATTTTAAATTTATTGAATTACTAATGTAGCTATTAAAAGATAGGGGTTTATAGCAGCACCCATATCACTTAGGGGTATAAAAAATAGATAACAACCTATTCTCAGACCTACTGAATATACATAAAAAAATTCCTCAAAATTGGTCAAGCCGTTTCGGAGGAGTATGGTAACTAAAACTGTGACACGAGAATTTTATATATATATAGATTGAAATGCCGAAATGTGCTTTTAAAACGTTATTGTGGTGTTATGGGGTAAAATATCTACAGATCCCTCAAAGGCGTATGTACTGTATATTGTTATAATTGCTTATATGGGGTGGTTACGACCATAATGGGGTAGATATCGCCGTCTAAAGATTAGATCCGCAGAAAATGGGCCATAAATTCCGGTTATTTCTGATCAGAACGACCTAACGTCTGGTTACTGGCTTATAAAGAACGAAAAAATTATGCAATTTGAGGGATTTGAGTTTTTTAGGAAAAATCGGGCGCGCCTTACGATAGTTTTTCCAATTTCAATCTAAGATTTTCAGTTTTTAGATGCCTCTTTTTTGAGCTTAATGCATAGTCTCAGAACTAAGAAAATTCCAAATTCATATTTTGATACATTTTTCTCTTGAATGGATGGATACATAAAGGCAGATTTACTTGAAGCTCCGTCCAGTAAATCTGCAACATTTTACCAAATTGAAACAAACATTTTAAATTCCATATTGTAAACTTCAAAATTTTTCAAACAGGTTCTTAAAGCAACTGAAATTGTTGAGAATATTAGGTTATGCAGCAACAAAATGATCGATATTCCTTGCACGTCCCTGGCTTTAGCCGGCTCGTCAAAGGGTTCGCCCAATAATCCTTTGGGAAGGCTTTGGTAAAATATAAATGCCACTCGGGTACAATAGTTCAGGAATTATATTACCCGGACAATATAATTTTCGTTGTACCGACACAAAGACAATATTTAGAGGGGGCGCCGGTTTAAAAGCTGAAAATATGATGTGCTTAATAAGTAAAAAAAACAAAAGACCCGATCCCTTTTGTTCATTAAGCACTTAGTTTTAACATCAATATAATTGTTCTGAGATTGAAGTGGGCGCAAGGGCGCAATAAAAATATAAAAAACTGTAAATCATATGATGTTGAATTATGAAAAATCAATTACTTGCAACAGTCACACCTCAAAACGCCAGGCTTGTTCAACATAGATTACCTTTTGCCCCCATATATCTAAGTCTTAATAGGTATAAATAGGTAAAATTCAATTCGGCGAAAGTCGATCCTTTGCCCGACTAAAATCCTCGAGCATGATTCCGGCTCTATTTCAATTTATACGTATTTCAAGATTCTCCTTCAATTCAGATACTGATTTTAATTTCTTAGAGTCGCTCGGATTCAATGGCGAAGCTCGGATTTTTCGCTAAATTGCTTGCACAAATTGATATTTTCCAAATTGCACTTTTCAAAACACATGTAAAACGTGGGGAATTTCGTTTTTTTTACATAATCATTCGAATGAAACCGTACTCGATGCGTGAATCAGTCCCTGCACTCCCATTTGGATAATAACAAAATTTGTTTGCTGTAAAAATAAAATCCATTCATTTCGCATTTTGCTGATTAAGGTCCACTAGAAACACGCTATATTCATTTACTATCCAAATCCAACTAATGGATTTTGGACTTTTGATTTCTGTTAAATTTTTGTATAGCTGGACCCGCTTTATAATGTGTTCGGTTTACTGTTTGTGCGTAACAGCATTCGGTTGCGTTGAATAGCCTAAAAAATTGCCGGATTTTGCTGAAAGCAAACAGATCCTAATAACTACCAAGCGCCTGTTTTGTTATTGTATAGCGAATTATTTGAGTCATCTCATTAAACCTGGTTCTTTATACGAACTTTTACACCCAATATTGGGTGTAAATCGCAATAAGCGCGAACTTAGTCAGTGAGTGGAATTCAAGCCAAATTTGTAGGCAAATTTAAAGCATATATTTAGATTAATCCGGTCTCAACTTAACCAATCTTCGATGTAATTTAATCATCTTATTGACCCAATGGCAAGTTGAGCAGTTTACTACCCGAACGTAAAACCGTTTGATTATATCTGAGACTTATTGTAAAAAAGCGGAAATTTAATCAAGTCCCAGAGTGGACTAAAACGCGTCCACAAAGACCGAATTATCCGGAGCAACTGCGATTATTACGGAAGCATCTCGAGTAAAAGGCCAAGTTGATTGGGCAAAGGATCGGGCCCCAATGAACAGCAATAGAAAACCGATCCGTTTGAAGTCACAATTCGAATTATGCTCGAGCTTTATAGAGAGATTTTCGTTTTATTCAGTTGCTCTTTCCATGCAGAATCAGCTCTAGGATTGTAGAGAATGCAATTGTGGAACATTTTTGCATATTAATTAGAGCAAAATTGGTTTATTGTCGTATTTTTTATGCATATCAAGCGAATATTCAATACGTAAAGGTAAAGCGAAACTTATAGCAACTTTTTCGTAAAAGCAAAAATTAATTGAGCGTAGTATTCGCCAGAGACACGGGTGCACATCATAGCAAACGTACGTTTGAAGCCATCCTACTGCACACGGGCAAACGGGCAAAAGCTGAATTTATCTGCAGCTTTTCCATTTCGAATTTACCCTGATCCACATTTGTAGAATTTCCATTTTGTTACATTGCAAATATAAGTTTCTCATCGGCAAATCGATGTACCCCAATAATTTGCTGCGCTTCTCGTTCCGTCGATAATCAGCCTTTATTGCTTTTAGGTGATAGTTCGATTGAAATTGCTTTTATTCGACTGGGTATATTGCGCTCAAAATTGTCTCATGTTCTTTGTAATGGACTGGCACCAAATAAGGTTTCATATTTGTTGGAAAGTTGCTGTGACGCCATAAATCTTAACACCAAAACGGGAGAATTCCAACAATCATCAACTTAACATAAGAAAAATAATTAGAAAATTGAAGCAAGTGCATGTTTGCAACTACTAACTGATTGATTTTTCAGACGCACGCAAACTTTACGCTGAAACAAAAAAACTATTTGGCTTTGCTTATAAGACCGAAGTTTTAGGGCTAGTTAATTGCATTTAGATAGGCAGATTGACTAATCTTTCACACACATACACAATCACGCATAACACTGAATCGAAAAAATTCTCAAAATTTGTGTCTAAACAAAATCGCTAAACACCAAAACAGACAATGAACGAATCTGTAATTTTTGCATTGATTTCAAGGAGCTTCACGCTCGAATTTCACCAACTTTTAGTGCGATCGAGAAATTTAATGACTGCAGGCGCACACTGACTAGGTTTAAACGAACGAAAGATTTTCAGAAAAATTATAGTGAGTATAGAATAATGAGTCATCTGGAATTTTCACCTGTGATAGAAGCTTCATTGTAACCAAATTATAGTTAATTGGGGAATTGACTGAATTTTCAGACGCCGTCAAGCTGAACGCTAAAACAAAAGCTTTCTCAAAACTTGCATTCTAAAATTAACGACTTAACTCCCAAAATATGGAAAGCAGTAGGTTGAAGTGTTTGCCCTGACTCGCTATACCCCCCAGTTCTAATTTCACAAAATCTCAGTTAAATCTAAGTATTGATTGATTTATAGGCGGACTCAAACTTTAGGACAAAACAAACACATTTTGCTTACATAAAAATTCCAAACTCCCAAAGTAAAACTAGTATGAACTTGTAACTTTTGGCTTGGATCAATAGATTTAATTTCTAATCGCTCTAAAGCTTAAAAATTTGAAAGTATTCTAAAACCAAAAATAAATTTAAAACTTTTCTACTGCAATTTATTTTTCTTCACTGATTTTGAGTTCAATAAACTCATGTGAGACCCAACTTTATTTCTTGTAATTTTGTATGGAAATATCTGGGAGTACTTAAGTTTTTTCCATGAACCCCAGCATATTTGCTGAATAATTATTTGCATTATCTGCTGCAGCCGTTTGCGTATTCTAATGCCCTTCAAAAGCCCGTACGAATATTAACCCGAAAAAAGCCCTCTCACCCGCTGTGGGCTGTCCATTAATATCATAACTGAGTGTATATCTCAGCATCGTGGAACTAATGGAGAAGGCTATCCAAAAAACAGTGAGCCATCTCAAACATACTTTAATAAATTGAATCCATTTTTAAAATTAGAAAATCCCGGAGTCTCGATGATTTAATGGACATAACGGCGAGGAACCGGGTAAATATTTGTATCGCTGAAATTAGTGAAATTCTATTGATGCCAACGGCCGAAATTAGATTGTGTGTACTTGAGTATAACAGTTTAGGGCCTTGTAAGTGCTCTCTGCTACTCGAAATTCTGGTTACAATATAATGGATTTCTGTTTGCTTTCATATCAGACGAAGCTAAAGGAATTGTCAAGAGATGGATTTGTAGAAATTACATTTCCGAGTGGAGTGAAGAGTATAACGGCCAAGTTCCCATTTCTCCAATCCCAGTTATGAGCTGAGAAATTGGCAAAAAATGGGGGGCCAACCGAAATAAGCAATTAATGGAATTCACTATGTAAACGAATCGATATTTATTAATTAACCACAAGTCAAACGAAGACCAGAATTGAGCGTTCGACTTATTAAATCGTCACTATTTCCTTTGGCA